CTTAGCCTTGGTTCCAGGCATCTGTAGTTTACAAGTTCCCCCATGTGATTGCAGTGTATGGAGAAAGGCTTCACATTGTAAGCCGCTGATTTGGGCACTGCCTAGCAAACTTTCCAGGGTATATGAATTACCTGGGGATCTTGAGAAAATGCAGATTCTGCATTTGTGACAAACCCTTAGGTGGTACCCATGCTGCTGTACCTCAGCCCAAACTTAGAGTACCAAGAACTGGTATTTCCCAAATGCCATGATTATCATTGCCAGTTAAAATATAAGATGCCTCATTTAATTTGAATTTTCAATAAGCAACATTTTTTAGTGTAAGTATATCCCAAATATTGCATGGGACATACTCATAGTAAAAATTATTCATTGTTTACTTGAAATTCCATTTAAGTCGGTATTCTTTTTTTTTTTTTTTTTTGCTAAATCTGGCAAATGTGCCTGAAAATAAGAATAATCTTGATTACTTGTTTCAACACATACACACATACTCCTGGATTCCTGGTCCTAATTCAGACCTGCTGAATCAATTTTTAGGGCCTGGCAATCGATGTATTTAATGAGTACTGCCAAGTGATTCTTATCAGCTCAATTTGGGACATACATAAAGCCTGGATTGTAATCCTTATGTCACAGGTACACACACACTCTGTCCATAGATACATCAGGAGGTATAGTTTGGTTTGAGTCTAATCAGGGAGCCTGGGGGGGTGCTTCAGTGGAAGTAGTGCTTGGGCCAACTACTAAGGGGAAGGCAAATCTTAAATATTCTGGGCTATGATATTTTAGCACCCCGGAGAAGCCCTCCTCTTTGATACTCTCAGAGAATCTAGGTATTCATTTAATAAGGGGGCTGGTGTTTGCAGATATAATACCAGATGCCCAGTTAAATTTGAATTTCAGATAAATGATGAATACATCTTTCAGTATGTGTCCTCAAATATTATATGACATATACTTATGCTAAAAAAAATTTGTTGTTTATGGAAAATTCAAACTTAAACAAGTGTCCCATATTTGTGGTTGCCAAATCTGGCAACCTTAGACTGGAGGACATCCTTGCAACTGATCTCAGTGGGCCAACCTGCATACCATCTTCAGCAAAACTAAGAAGCTGGGCAGAACTGCTAGGGTCCTATAGGAGCATCTTCAGCCTCCACAGAGGTGATCAAGAGGAATCTTGAGGCTGGTAGGTCCTTGGACAGGAAAAGTAAGACTTCATTCATTCCAAGAGGAAAAATTTAAAATAGGTCTCAGCCCCTGGGAAGAGTGCCCAGGAACTTGGTGTGGACTCTTTCTGAAATGGGAGGAAGTAGAGGGAATTCATCTCACACTGGGACACAGGTTCAGCATTATTGCCAAAAATGAGGAGTTCTGCACAGAATAGTGTCATCATTAGCACAGCCTGGTCCATCCTGAGAAGCCGGGTATTATTTCTGCACCCAAGCAGGCTCTAAAGTAAAACAGCCAGGTTCTGTCCCTTTATATGCATTGGCTTGCTGCTGCTCTGTAAGGGACCATCCCTTTGCACTCTAGGTAGAAAAGTCTGTGTCTTTCAGCAGTGAAGGGATGGGGCATTTGGGCATAGTGGAGAGTTTAGTGCAGCCACAGAGGTGGGAGCGGGCAAAGGAGGTCCCTAGAATGTCTCCCCACTAAGCAGAGAGGAAACCACCAGCTTCCAAGCTGGACTTCCAGCCATCACACTACATAGAAGCAGGAACCAAATCCCTCTGCAATTATGACCTACATCCTTGATTCTTCACAAGACTGTTATGGATAGATATTTACAAAGAGTGTATTTTTTTCTACTTGGATTCTTAATTTGCTAAATTCAACTAAGGCCTTTCAGACCCATGCATTTTATGTCAACACATTAACAGGCAGACAGGTAGTCATGTCTAATCTTAATTATTCAATTATTTGTTTTGTATCAGTGGGTGCCCCTTGGCCCAGATTAAGTCAATTAGTATTTGTGGAGTTTCCAAGTATTAGCACTTCATTTGGTCCTTTATGATAGAAGGCTTTATTTTAAAATATCTTGCCAAACTATTGTTTGCTGCTTCCTGAAGATACTTTACAGAACAGAATGAAGTTTCTTTTTTTTTTTTTTTTATCCTTTTTGTCTTTTTTCGTGACCAGTAACAGGATCGCAACCCTCAGTGTCGCGCCCATACCGCGACCGGCAACGGGATCACAACCCTCGGTGTCGCGCCTGCACCGTGCTCAACCAGTGAGCGGACCGGTCTCCATATGGGATCCGAACCCTCGGCGGGAGCGTCGCCGCACTCCCAAGTGCCGCACTCTACCAAGTGCGCCACCGGGCCGGCCCGAGAATGAAGTTTCTAATAAAATTCAGGCTTCCTCCAGCTGGTTATTATAATGTCGTATTTTACACATAAATTATATTAGGAAGCCTGTGTCTTTCCTTTAGTGATTAAGATTACAGGGGAAAAAAGATTTCAGGGAAAATAAAAAGAATGAAAGAAAAGAAAGATAGTTTGTTTTTAATAAATTAGCACCCTCTGCGAAAAATTAACTTTCTGATGCAGTACATAATTCAGCAATCCAAAGTAAATTGTCATGTTCTATACATAGACCTCCTTTAACTCACAAGAATATTCTTTGTGTCACTTCTAACTATATTCTTGCTTTTGGGAAAGTTTTTAATAACAGAATAGACAGTGTTCATACCTCTAAGATCTTGTTTTCTTGGTAGCACCTTCAAAAGCATTCCAAATGTGTTCTCTGCTAGTGTAGAAAAGTTTGTGGGGTTTTTTGTTTTTGTAGTACCTAAGGGTGGAAATTCATGTGTTCTCTCACTTCAGTCAAGTAGCAGATTTCTTAAAAACCCACCAGAGGAAATTGCCACTGCTGATTTTTGAGCAAAAAGAGGAACAAAAACAGTTGCCCCCGCCCAGCAATGACCAGCAAGCCACTGCAGGAAGCATTCCAGGCCCTCCAGCCGAGGTGGTGGAGGGCTGGGGGCCTCAGGCACACCCCTCTGACACTCGCAACCAGCCCAGTGACGACCACTGAGCCACCACAGGAGGCTCCCTGGGCTCTTAAGCTGGGGCCGCGGGGGGCTGAGAGCTTCAACCACACCCTGCTGACATCTGCATCCAGCCCAGCAACAACCAAGCCACTGCTGGAAGCCCCCTTGTCTCCCTGCAGGAATGAGGGGGGTGCCATGGGCCTCAGCCATGCCCCCCCTTCCTCCTTCTCCCACCCTATTTCCTTTCCCCTTTTTCTCTTCCTCTCCCTGCCAACTGCTCTGCAGCATCTTAGAATGCAAAAAAATAATAATATTAATAAACAAATAAACTTAAAACAAACAAACAAAAGAAAACAGTTGCTGTGTCTTTTCTTTTACTAGTCAGTGGGTAAGGAGTAATCCTTTGGTGGAGTTCTAAATTTGCCATGCATGTAGTAAATTTGCAAACACTCTCACTCGCCAATTTTATCAGGGATATAGGAAAACTGAAAGGAAGTTAAGGAAAAGGAACAGAGGTGGTTAGAATTATGTGAAATGGTTACTCTGCAGAAAACTTAGAGGAAAAGGGCTTGTTTCACTTAAGAAGTATTGGGTTCTGGTTAGATGTATGTTGGGAGGGCTGGGATTGGGGGATGAGATGCCTAGCATCCTGGGGAGTGTAAAATCTCTCCTCCTCATAGAAAGGACCAACCCTTCATTTGGCTGTTTGCTGTGGAAGGGCAACAGGCTGCAGGAGAGCTACCACATAAGGTCGTGCAAGTTGCACCTGGCACGTGGTGGCTGGCCAAGGAGGTGGCTGGCAACTGCAGTCCAGCCCCTGCCATACTCACCAGTCAGGCTGGGCACCAGGCTGAGGCCTGCCTCAGCCAGGAGGAAGGACACCTGCTCTGTGTTCGTCTGACCAGAGAGGGTACCTCTTTGTCCTTGTATGGACTGTCTGGTAGCTATTGAGAAACTGATTGTGAGTCCCTGAAAATGCCATCACAGCCCACCCCCACTTTGGTGGTACCAGTCTGGGGTTTGGAACCACCCAGAGGATCTTACAGGCTATCCAGCAAGTAACTTCACCTGGAGCGAAAGGGCCAAGCAATAGGGGATGTTGATCAGTTCTAAAATGGCATCATTTATTTTCTTAAAAAGAATGCGTAAGCTCTGAAGTCCTAGGGGAGGGGGAGGAAGGGATTTCTGCAGGTCTTGGGCCGAGGAAGCGTGGCCAGGATTAGATGATCCAGAAACTGGGCTTAGGCCTCTGGTTAGGGACTGTGACTGTGAATGTGCCGCCTGTCACAGTCGCTTGCCATCTGGACTTCCTCTTTTTTTGTGCCCTGGAAAAGGCAGGCATCTAGAAAATTCTCCGTAACCTACTCTATTATTTTTCTGATGAGTCGATTTTAGGTTGTGGACTAGAAATTGTAAAAGATAATGTGTGGATTTTTGTTGCAACTTAAACTGAGGGTTGGTCTAAGGTTTTTTGACTCACCTCATTGGAGTGTAGTTAATATAGTATGAGTCTAAATTTTGTATTTTGGTCATAGGAGTCCAGGAAACTGAGGCTTGGGGTTTTTTTGCTTAAAAGCCATAAAAACAGTAATTTATTTTCATGCATATTTATATTGTGGTGTGAAATCTATTCGTGTGCCCAAACTGTTCAAATGTCTGGTCTCAGAAATGCCTAGTGTGATGGAAAGTATGCAAAACTTTTGTTCAAAATTGGCTTGTGTGTCCTCAAGAAACTTCCTTAATGTTACTGAGCCATTCTCCATTTCTTCATGTGTAAAACATATAAGTATACTTACCTCATAGAGCTTCTGTGAAAAATAGTGAGATAATACTTAGAAAAATGCCTCGTGTGGTACCCGACACAAAAACATTCTTTATACTTACCCATTTAATCAATTGAGGACACAGCCCACAATTTAGAGGAGCAATTCACATGCGTCTTCTGGAGTTTTTCCCCGAGGAAGTGTTTCGGAGTCAAGTGTAATGATGCTGTTTTCTTTTCCAGCCACAGGACGAAATCTTCGGGTTGGCCACCTCCCTCAGGAACCTGGGGCTTGAACCAGGTGCCGCCCTATGGATGGGAGATGACGACAAACCGAGATGGGCGAGACTACTTCATCAGGTAGGTTGAGCAGATGGCACGAACAACAAAGTCCTTGGATAATGGACTTCTCTAGTTTTGATTTGCTCGGGAGAATGAACATAGTTAAATTAGGTGCTCATAGGCATTTGGAGGCCATTGCTCAAGCAACTTGATCTCCTATACCTTCTACGATATGTCTTGTGACATAGGGTTGCTTCATTCTTGCGTGAGCACCATCTGAGAGTGACAATTCACTGCATGACCATGGTGACACTGGCTCAGAGGGCAAGTGTCCATTATTAAATACTAGTCCAGCTGTATTCATTGTCTGATACTAATAACTAAAGTTCGGCATGGAAGAGTATCATTTAGAGTTTTCTAGAAATGGTGTAGACAGGAATGTTAGTCCATCTGTAACTAGAAAAATTAGCCAAAAGGATTATGTACATTACATGTTTTATTGTAAAATTCTCACACTAATATTGGCTTAGGTTTGGAATTTTGTGATGCTCTCTTTTTTTAAACTGTGGTAAAATAACATAAAATATAACCTTTTAACCACTTTTAGATGTACAATTCAGTGGCATTAAGTACATTCACAGTATTGTGCAACCATTCACCACTATCCATCTCCAGAACTTTCTCATCATCCTCAACAGAAAGTGTGTACCAATTAAACAATAGCTGCCCATTTCTCCCTCCTCCCAGCCCTTGGTAACCTCTATTCTACTTTCTGTCTATGAATTTGCCTATTCTATGTACGTTTATAAGTGGAATCATACAATATTTGTCCTTTTGTGTCTGGCTTATTTCACTTAGCATAGTGTTTTCAAGGCTTATACATGACATAGCATGTATCAGAATTCCCTTTCTATTTAAGGCTGGATAATAAGCCATTGTATAGTATACCACATTTTGTTTATTCATTCATCTGTTGATGAACATATGGGTTGTTTCCACCTTTTGGCTATTGTGAACAATGCTGCCATGAACATTTGGTGTATAAGCATGTGTTCGAGTCCCTGCTTTCACTTCTTTTGGGTACATACCCAGGAGTATGATTGCTGGGTCATACGGAATTACTGGGTCAAAGTTAAATGCTATGTTCAACTTTTTGAGGAACCACCAAACTGTTTTTCAGAGTGACTTCAGTGCTCTGGTTTTTTTGCAGTTGTTTGAGAAGAGCACATATTACATTTCTCAAAATGACAGGAGTCCATCCTGCTTTTCTCTCCAATCTAAGTGCAATGATCTTAATTATAAGAAATTAGTCAAGTAGTTTGGAAATCAGGAAGCATGTTTGGTTCTAGCTTTGTTATAATTAAGCAGAGATTGGAGGCCACAGAAAAAATCTTTCGCAACCACAAGCTGTATTTTTTGTTCCAGCCAAAGTATAGACTGATTAGCAAATGTAGGACCACCATGAGGTAGGGAATCATTTTTATAAAATTGTCTGCCTAAATTGTTTTGGGGATATTTGATCTTTTGTACTACTCAACCCACCACCCCACTCCCCCATCCCCAAGTGAGTATTATTGGAAAGTAGCTAGGGGAAAAACACATGTGAGTGTTGTGGGTGGTTTCCCTACCTCTGCAGCCCAAGTCTTTCCCCTTCCCCAGAATTGCTGCAGAAGGGAGACCCCCCCACACACACACACACACACTTCAGAGTGTAGTTTATTGCCTCCTGGATCCATCCCGGGAAGATTCAGGTTGACCTTGAACATGAACCATGCTGGGGAGCATGTGGGAAGTGGCTCTCTGGCTCTTCAAGGCTTTCCTAAGGATGTGCTCCCAGAGAAATTATAATAGAAATGGCAGTTGGAGCAGAGTCTCTCAAAACTGGAAGAAAGGCCAGTAGTTTTTTTTGTTTTGTTTTGTTTTTTGTTTTTTTAGCAAGGATGTGGAGCAACAGGAACTCTCATTTATTGCTGGTGAGAATGCAAAATGGTACAGTCACTTTGGAAGACAGTCTGGCATTATCCACATGATACATTTCAATTTATACAGAATTAAACAACAATAGCATGTAAGTCAGGAAGGAGGTAAATGACTTTATGTTTTCTATGGTCTTTTTATTGTCTGAAAGATGGTGAAATTACCAATTAACATTGAATTTTTATTATTCAGTAAAAGAATAATAAGAATATATAACTTCTAAACTAACAAAGGAAAAGAAACACAATAATAAAAAGATCAATCAAGACCAGGGCAGGAAATGAAAGAAAAAGGCAGAAAGAATAAGTGGAACAAATAAAAAGCATATAGTAAGATGGTAGGTTTAAACTCAAACATCATAAGATTGTAAATTTTAAAAATCCAACAATTTCTGCTTATAAGAGGTATACCTAAATCCTAAGGATACAGAAGTTTGAAAATATAATGATGAAAAAAGATAAACTGTGCAAACAAAACAAAAAAAACCCGAAATGCTTGTATACCCCTATCAATATCAGGCTATTGCCTGATAAAGAAATAAAAGATCATTATTAATTTAATTAACCAAAAATATATGACAATTACAAATTCGCATATATCTAATGACATTGTCCCAAAATATATCAATTAAAACTTTTTAGAATTACTAGAAGAATTAGATTAATTCATCATACAATGGCAATTTTAACATATTACTCTCGGGAACTGACAGATCAAGCAGAAAAAATATCAGCACACATATAGGAGACTTGATAAAAATGATTAATAAATCCACATACATAAAAATGCAGGCATCCAATAGAAAGTGAAATATACATCCCTCGAAAGGCCAGTAGTTTTGCTCACACCCTAGATTTCGAATTTCTAATTTCATACAATTTGCTTAATCCTTTATGCTGCTAGAAAGACAATATTTTTTGATATTATGTTGTGCCATCTATTCTGTAACATGGTTATGAATTTATTCAGTTGACTCAGTTAAGTGATCTAGATGCTTTGACTCAAAACAATAAAAATTTTCTGCTGAAGAAATGTGATTTTAAAAAGACACGGATTATAAATTTATGAAGGTATGTCTCAGACTTCTCTGATCAAAACGGATTTTCTTTTGCTCTGCTTGCATTTGGGTTCCCATACATTCCAGGCCATTCGATCAATAGGTAGAAACCCAAACCGAAGCCAACTGCTTAGGGAATCTGAGAACAACAGCTAGCTCTACCTTCATGCATTGCCATCAGCATCATTGACATTTTTAAGGGCCAGACTGGTGTCAATTTAACATTTACACTGGCCTCATGCCAGCTGTTAAAACATATAAGAGCAGACCAGCAACTTAGAGAAACTTGCACTGATTACTAAATGGCAAGTTTTTTTTTTCTTTTTTTCTTTTTTTTGTAGAGAATATTGCTCTTCCTGTTTCATTTAAAATTCCCATATAGTTTTTTTTAAAATTTTTATTTTGTCGATATACAATGTGGTTTATACACCCTGAAATGATAAAACTTATTAAAGAAAACATAAGAGAAACACTTCAGGAAATAGGGCTGGACACAGACTTCATGAATACGACCCCAAAAGCACG